GGCGCGGTCCAGACAGTCGTAGTACTCAAAATTCTCTGTCAAACGTTGCAACATTGACAGGGGTTCGCTGAAGTTGACCTAAAAGAGGCAAAACTACGAGCGATTATTTTGAGCACATGAAATGTAAAACCTGAAATTAGTTTTGCAAGGAATTTGGAGCATAGACTGGCCTAGTTGACTTTAGCAGTTGCTCTGTCTCAGGCATAATTTTTGTCTACAAAAATTGGGGATTTTTATGATGGAGGAAAAAAAAGGAGCTGGAATGTTGTAGATATTTGGAGTACAGATTTCTACAAACAAATTATGAACGGTGGTGGGATCGGATGCTTTCAGATACATGTGGATGGACCTTCAGTGGTGGGTGAGACAAACACAAAAACTTTGAGGAAGGGATATCCACAGCAGATAGATATGCTAAAGAAGCAGAATGAATCTAATGAGACTCTAAGTAAACGAGTAAATGAGAAGAAGAAGATTCGATCGCTGGGGCAACACGTTTATTCGCCTGACAGATGTCGAAACGTCAGGCGAATAAAATTACTGTCTCAGCGATCGAATCTTATTCTTCTCAATTACTTCCTAGGACTCGCATGTTCGCTTGCATTGGTAAACGATTAAAGGCGACAGGTGTAAAAACCGCATCTGACTGGCCTAGACCGGATACTGTTCCGCATTTAACGTGACGACATGAGACGGTTAGTCCGAAACTTGACTTGGAACTCACAGTAAAGACACTGACGTGGTTCACAAAGCTTCAGTATTCGGTCTCCGGGCTGAAGTGATTTAAAATTACAGGATGCACTTCAAAGATTATGGCGTACCGTCAAAATGTCCCTCAGGACGGCTACATCAGGTAACAGGGCAAACGTATCAGTAAAAAAGACTACCTCTAGGGGGAATAACATAGAATACCTGCAAGGTTTTAAACCACCGTCACAAACAGCGGGTTCTAGAGACAGCCCCTCTCACTTTGAATACATTAACCCCTATTGGATTCAATGACGTAAACTGACGGGTTCGATGGAACGGTTTTATAAAATTGGATTGAATAGCGCAATATTGAAGAGCTTTTTTGCTTTACTATCACCAAATAAGCATATTCAACACTACGTGGTCAAGGGTACCTACATAAGGCGATATAATACACGGACTTCTCCGTGTCATATTTTTGATCCAGAACGATCTGTACTGAAGTCATTTAGGATAAATTATAACCTTGTTCTACACCTATAGAAGTGGCGAAACAACCCGACAATAACGAGGTCGACTGAAAAAAGTCATAGATAAGAGGCACAGAGATGTCCGTCAGCGCCCAAAGGGAACAAAGTCACAGCCTGATATAGAAAAGAAAGCAACTGATAGTGAAGGACCAAAGGTCAAAATATATACTGCAAAAATGCCACGGCGAATTTGAACGCATCAACTGTGTTGGACTGCGATAACTTACCGGCATTGCTATCTTTGTTAGTTCCTTGCCAATGCAGTTCTTTAGGATGCTCCATAGATTAAGACTGATATTTGGCTTGGGTGGAATAGTGGTTCGACGCTTGATCGGCTTACGAGCAGGAATAATTTTCCCGCCGTGCGGTGGCGAGACCGGGACATGAACACCCGCGCCTTCGCCGCCTATTTGATCCTCCGATGACCTTTAGAGGGGGGGGG